AGGGAAAAGTGGTTGGAAGATGAATGGACAGTGAGGAATAGAAATTGCTGTGGAGAGCGGGCTTGAAGAAAAGAAGAAGTGTGTGAAAATTGAAGCTCGACATTCAGAGGTTGTGCTGGGAAAGAGCAAGGGGGGGGGGGGAAATAAGAAAGTATGAGTTTGAAGGTTTGCACACATTGGCTTTACAAATGAGGAGATTTGGCTGCACAGCTTTACCCCAGCGAGGCAGAAAGACCGATAGACAGATATTTGGGGTTACACTTCGAGAGAGAGAGGTAATCTTGTTATAGTACAAGATTACCTCGCATCCATGTTTTACATCTTTGAGAGGCTTATAGAAAGACAGGGAATCTGCTCACACAAATACTCCTGTTTTCTTTATCGTAATACCACCATGTTGTTCCTGCTGCAGGAGTCAATGCTTTGTTATTTTTATGTCAGTATGTTCTTTTAGAGCAGGGGTGTCAAACTCAAATACACAGTGGGCCAAAATAAAAAAAATGGGTACTAGTCGAGGGCCGGACTGGTTCAATGTTTATTGCAGAACTTATTGAAATGAACTTATTGCACATATTAAACCTGGAACTAACAAAGCTTAAATGATTGCCTATAAAAACAACATGAAACGAGTCATTTCTTATGATTACATTTCTCCACAGGCCAACAACAGCTTCAACAAAACTATTTCCCTCAAAGAACAAACCAAACATGCCCTGTTGTCGTGAGAGAAAAAGTGCAGAAGGAAACATGTAAACTCAGTGTGCTGCTCTGTGATGCTAGTTCAGATACTTGGCATCTCATCTTGGGTGCAAGTTCATCAATGTTTGGGGTCAGGCTCTGAGCTGAGGAGACCCTCAGGATGGAGTGAAGGTGTGCGTGCAATATACCGGCGGGCCAGATCTAATAGTAATTAGAAATTATCCTCTAACATCTCCTGCAACACTTATTCAAATATTGCTGACTAACCAAACCCACACGCTCTAAAATATAATAGTGTCCAGCATTAACAACCTATTTTGGCTCTGCTCCGAAATGTAATGGCTTCTTCCTTGGCCAATTGTACGCCTTTCCACCAAGTTTCATGAAGATCCAACCTTTTCTTTTTTCTGTAATATTTTGACAAACAAAATAAAACAAACATTCTTGTTGGAGGTAACAATGTCTTTCCTTTTTGAAACCGTAATCCATGCCTTCGTCACCTCCCGCTTGGATTATTGTAATGCACTATATATTGGGATAAGTGCGTCCTCCCTTGCTCGCCTGCAGATGGTGCAAAATGCAGCAGCACGGCTCCTAACTTATCTTCACTCCACTGGCTGCCCGTTCATTCGAGGATTCATTTTAAAACTATTTTATTTACTTTTAAAGCCCTCAATGGCTTGGCCCCCGCCCTACCTCGTTGAGCTGTCACTCGCACTCTCAGGTCAGCTGATCAGTTGCTCCTGAGGGTGCCAAAAACAAAGTCTAAGCGCAGAGGGGACCGTGCTTTCTCTGCTGCCGCCCCTAAACTGTGGAACGACCTGCCCTTGCTAATCAGACAGGCTCCCACACCGTCTGTTTTTAAATCCCGTCTTAAAACCCACCTCTTCTCCTTAGCATTCGGAACCAAGTAGATTGTTGCTTTTATTGGTTTGTTTTGTGTTTCGTATCTTTTATGTGATTTTATACTTATTTTTATGTTTTGTGAGCTGAGCTGTGTGATTTTATATTTTATGTATCTGTCTGTACGGCACTTTGGTCTGGAGGTTTTAAAGTGCTTTATAAATAAAGTTGGATTGGATTGGATTTTCAGCACAGTTGGTTCTAGAGAAATTGCCTTTCCATTGCAGAGTAATTGGATCCTAATTCAGGACGGAGGTGTTGATGATTATAGAGAACCTGTGCTATCAAAAAGCATTATATTCAGGCAGGAAATCTCACAATCTGGACGAATAAAGCCCAAACTATTTTGCATGGCTAACCCTAAACCTAAACCAACCCTTTGAATATTAATAGCACTTACTCAGGGAATAAAACATCTCCTGCAAAGCTTATTCAAATAGCAACTGGCCCTTTCCACCAAGTTTCAAGAAAATGTAACCGGTACTTTTTTTCTATAATCTTTTGACAAGCAAAACAAACCTTCTTGTTGGAGGTCAAAATGTTTTTTCAGCACAGATGGTTCTAGAGAAATGGCCTTTCCAATGCAGAGTAATTGGATCTGGATACAAGATGATTATAGACAACTTCTGCTAATCAAAAAGCATTATATTCAGGCAGGAAATCTCACAATCTGGACGAATAAAACCCAAACTATTTTGCATGGCTAACCCTAAACCTACAGTAAACCAACCCTTTGAATTGTTATAGCACTTACTCATGGAATAAAACATCTCCTGCAAAGCTTATTCAAATAGCAACTGATTTGAATCTTCTCCAAAATGTAATGGCTTGTTTCTTGGTCCTTTTCACCAAGTTTCAAGAAAATCTAACCGGTACTTTTTTCTGTAATGTTTTGACAATCAAACAAACTTCTTGTTGGCACTAACAATGTCTTTTCTGCACAGTTGGTTCTAGAGAAATGTCCTTTCCATTGCAGAGTGGAGAACTTCTACTAATCAAAAAGCATTATATTCAGGCAGGAAATCTCACAATCTGGACGAATAAATCCCAAACTATTTTGCATCTCTTACCCTAAACCAACCCTTTGAATTTTAATAGCACCTATTCAGGGACTCTCCTGCGTAGCTTATTCAAATAGTGCTGACTAACCAAAGGGATACGCTCGAGTGAAAGGACTTCAAATGTCTCCGCATGAGTTTTTGCATTGTTGTAGGCAGGTACTTTCAGAAAAGCACATCTGAGGATTCCTGAGTGTGTTTTTGCAGACCGGAGCATTGTAGAAACAGAGATGGCTCAGTCCTTTCTCTGCCAGCATTGCCTATATTTATTCCTGCCTCAAGCATAAAGTAGTTGATGAAAAAGGAAAAGGACTCTGCAGAAGTGTTGATGCTGTAGAAAACACCCAGAACCATTAGTGGAGTCTTGCTGTACTTTCAGAGGCCTCATTTGTTCAGTGTATACTAGGGATGTCCCGATCACCTTTTTTTGCTCCCGATCCGATTCTGATCATTTGATTTTGACAATCTGCCGATACCGATTTTTCCCGATCCGATCTTTATGCAATGCATTAAGAGAAAAAAAAGGTAACAGATAACGGCTGGTCATCCAACGCGATGAATTCAGCTATCTTGGCTGTTATTTTTTTGGCCTTTTCACTGTTCTGGGGCAGCTTCTCTTTCCTTTTAAAAGTCTCTGAAAGTGTCGGTTGTTTCAGTGCCGTTACCTGAGTGGCCGCTGTGTACTCGTCGTGTTGTTGTTGGTGTTTGTATTAGATTGGTCGTGTTGAACGTAGCTCTGTTCTTTCCACCACGCGGAACCTCCGCCTTGCAAACATTGCATCTGGCTGTTACACTGCCTTCGCTTTCAATTTTATAATACTTCCAAACTCCTGACATTTTCTCTGTCCCGACTCCCGAGGCACCAGCTGAACGTAGCCTCTTGTTAGCTTACTGCTACTATTAGACACTGCGCCCACTCTGTTGCCAGATTTGAGAGAAATAAGCAACCAGGTCTATGAAAACAAGCCCAAAAGAAGCAACACATACATGATGTTGTGTAATTTTAAACCAAAACTAAGGCCTCAGGATGACTTTAAGACGAGAACATGGTCATTTTTGTTTTGTAACATTAAATTAAAAAAAAATATTTTATAAAAAAAAAAAAAAAAAAAAATCCCGATCCCTGATTTTTTTCTCCCGATTCCGATCTTTTGAAAATCACGTGATCGGCTCCGATCCCCGATCACGTGATCGGATCGGGACATCTCTAGTGTATACAGTCTTTGTCTATTCTTAAGTCTGACCTGTATATAATTTGTTGGCTTGGACCTCTGGGCTTCATCCTATGTTTCTTCTCCCCTTGTTAGACTTCCCTTTTCGTTCTCATTAGTTGAGTTTACAGCTCTTCCAAATGCCAGCGAGAGGCTGAAGCTCAGGCTGTGAAGAACTCTTCCCCTTTTTAAAATCACATGACACTGTAACTCATCCTAAGAACAGCCAGCTCAGAGTGTACCGGAAACACTTTAATGAAGTTAGTCGTTGGAAACAAGAGTTAATGAGAAACCTGTGCTCTGAGAAGATTCATTATTCAATTTCCCATAATTGAAAATGTACTGTTCCCTTCTTGACTAAACTGATATTGCATATTTCCGTCTTCTTTTTCTGCTGTCATTAACAACAAATTGAATCTAGACACAGCAAAAAAAAAATATGAGAACAGGATGGAAATGTATTTAAAGTGCATTACAGGTCTGTTTACAAGAGATGATGTTAATGCCAAGTTGAAATGTACAGAAGCACATGATTAAATTCTGTAAAATATATAAATAATAAGTGAAATAATTACAATTATTAGGAATGTCTCTACTCCAAAAACGAATTTCATTATTATTGTCAAAATTGTGTTTGTTGAGGTTAATTGTTGGAGCTGAGGTTTATTGTAGGAACGCCACATGTTATTAGAAAAATAAGTATGTAATAAATGTAATTTAAATGTAATAAAATATTCATCTTCCTTTTGAGTAACATATCAATAAATACTGTTAAATATATTGAGTGGGAGGCTGTGGCTCAGTGGTAGTGCGCTGAACTTTGTATCAGGGGGTTGCAAGTTCGAGTCCCACTGCAGTCAGCATGTCGTTGTGTCCACTTTGCCCCAAATTGCTCCTGTGGGGATTGCCCACAGTATTGAATGTAATGATAATGTGTCCTCTTTAAAAACGTATTTGATCATCCATTTCAATCATAACTTTATTTATTTAGTTTTCATAGTCGTAGTAGTATATGAAATAACTTTAAAATGTTGTTATAACATTTAAGAATGATGACATTTATTATTCGATTGTTAATAATGACTTTAATAATAGATGAATCTTCCCTTCTCTTTCCCTTTCCTCCCAGTATCAAGATGGTGCTGATGTGGACCAGTGGGGACACCTTTAAGACGGGATACTTCCTGCTCACTCAGGCTCCCGTTCAGTTCTGGACCTGTGGCCTTCTGCAGGTCTTTGTGGACTTCACCATCCTCTTCCAGGTGTATTACTACAGCCGCTTCCCTCAGAAACCAGTTTCCCACACCGCCTCCCACACCACCAGTGCCAAAGCCCTCTGAAAACCCCCTCTGAAGACACTCAAAAAACACAACAGTGACTGAGGAAGCACTTTTAAGAGGTGCTGTGAACACGTTTAAACACACAGGAGTACCAAAGCACCTTGAGATGATGCAGGCTGCCCCCTCAAGTATAAATAAAAACACACACACACACCCATAAGGCATGAAGATACACAGACTGTGTTTTCAACGGTACCTGACGGACACTTGTTACAAACGAACGTTCCTTTTTATTTATCCTACTGACTTGTTTTCAAACTGGACATGATGGAAAGCAGAGTTTATCTTTGTGCATGTGGAGAATATAATGCACACTCTCTTGAGAATATACGCGGTAAATAACTGCAGATGTATGCACTGTAATCTGTGCACAAGGAAATGTGAACCTTAGCTGGTGATTGTTGCATGGACCCTCGGCCTTAAAACACACATTCAAACATGGCTTGCTGCATTTACGAGCAATCCAAATGTATGAATCAATCAAAACAATATTCAACATTACTGAATGTACAAAATGATCTCCCAACACAGTGGAGAAATGCTGGTCAGTCCACCACTTGTTGGCCATAATGTGCTGTGACAAACTCAATCTTGTGGGATAGTTGGGGAGGAATGGGATCGTAGGAAACTAGAGGCAATCAGACTTTTACCAAATAAAGGAAAATCCCAAAAGGGTTAAACTAAACAATGATAATAAACATAAGAGGCCTTGATGGTAACAGAGAGCTTTTGTTGAAGACATAAGGGCAGTTTTTTGTCTGAAGTCGGAACAATCATCAACCCCATGTTCAGGGTGCACAGTTTGTCGTAAAGCCAAACCCAGGATTTCTTGTCCTGAAGCCATGAAGGACATTTTTCATTCCACAAAATCCTGAAACCCCAAAGTAGTTCAGGTGCGTTAAGACTGAACACAATTGCATACAAAGTCATTAACGCAAGTTTGCAAGAACCTGCTAATAAATGCGTACTTTTGAGCTAAATCCGGATTATCCCGTAGGTTTCTAAATCCGAATTAAGAGAGATTATAACTTGCCAATTATAATTACAGCCAAATTATTCTTTTAGAAAACATTTTTATACTATTACTACTTCTGAAAATGTCCAGAAACCTCACTTACAATCAGCTGTGGATAACCATATTATTTTTTATTACAAATCCAATGTCATTTGCTGCTTTTGGGAAGGTTTTACCTCATCGCCATTTTTATCACAAGACAGTCATTTCCTTTTAGGACGGAGAAGAGGAAGAGGAAGAGGAAGAAGCAGTCACATAACACGTTGAAGGTTTTTCCTTTTTTATTGTTTTGTAATCTTTCTTTGGCGAGGTGAGGAATGCTAAACTCGGAGGTGTCAGGACTGCCAAATCTGTCCTTCTCTGCTAAGCCCTAAGAAATGAAAACTTCCTTTTTTTTGTTCCAGAGGGATGAGGCAGCAGAATATTTCTTTCCCCACTCTTAAAATATCCCCCAAAAGGTCACTTCTTAGTTGTGGATTTCTTTGTGTTTACACGTTTGTAGTCACCCTATTTATTTTGTTATCATTTTATTAAATATGAATCTAGTGTATGACTGTTAGACAGTGGTGAGGGTGAGTGGTGAGGGTGATTGTAATACATGTGGTAGGTTACACTTTTTTTGTATTTCTATATTGATTGTCATGTGAAGGTATTTTTTCCCCACAAACTGCCATGTTGTGCATTTTCTTATTTGTGCAACCCACGTATAGTTTTGTTTATGTACCAAAAAAAAAACGTTACCAGCATATATTTTAAGCAATCTTTTTACCATGTTACATTTTTGTTTTTTTTCCATCCCAGTGAATAATATGGCATTTGTGCCCAATAAAGAGTACACGGAGAGACTCATGCGTCATGTTTTGTTTGGAGATGTTTGTGTCAGTTGTGCAGACATCCATCGTTTCTCCCGTCAGCGATTCAGCTCTGGCAGACATCAGTTGTCAAAGGAAGAATAAGCCGAGGTCCGTCTCTGGGCATATGCAATCTAAATATTAAGCACATTAATTGTAAGCGGGGAGACAGATAAAATGTGCCAGCACAGAACGGGTAAAAGGAGGGATTTGAAAAGACGTCACATTAAGCAAGCAGATACAGATTCATAATGTTTCCTTTATAGGTCACCAAGTGCCTTTAATAAAAATGGTCTGTCCCTCGTAGATTAGGCTTAAATAAGATATGTGCATTTGTGTTCATGCATATTGTTGAAGATGATGGAACAAATAAGCTTCTGCGCTTCATGATATAAAGACTTTGAATTCATACTCAAGGTCATAAAAACACAACACTCAAATACAATTCTTCCTGAGCGATTTGAGTGGTGCTTCCCTGACTGATAAATACTTAAAAACGGCTGCTATGGACTTTTGCAAATATTGGAGGTGATGGTGCACTTTTCTAAGCTCATATATCTTAGTAGTATAACCTTTCTTTAAATGTTTTAGTTGTTTTGGAAGGTCTTTCACCTTATTAACTCTACAGTAAATATACTCTAATGAGTCCCCTTAATACAGCCCCATGAATTGCACTTCAGTAAATGGAAAAAATCCGAAGCTATGTCAACCCAGTCTCACGGCATTTCGTGTTATAGTCACGAAAGTAATGTAATCTATTGATTCGTGTTCACCAACACAATTTCCCCATTTTTTTTGTGTCACACAGAACAATACGATTTCAAATAAAAGGGTTAGGGTAATTTATATTGAGTAAGAAAATGTTTTTATGAACCACACAGCTGGACAAAAAGACATGGTGCAGGCACGAAACACTCTACCAATAGAAATACATTGCTTTTAAAATCTTTCTGGGTGACACGAAAAAAATGCAAAAATCGTGTTGGTGAACACGAATCAATAGATTACATTAATTTCGTGACTATAACACGAAATGCCGTGAGACTGGGTTGCATATATCTTAGTAGTAGATAAACAAATTAACCTTTCTTTAAAGTGGACCTATCATGCTATATTTGAATAATATAGTGTAGGACCATACCTATATAAGGCATATTTATACTTTTTTTTTTCAAAATACCAAACAGATCATGAACAGCACCATCTACTGGCCTGGCATATGTACTACAGCGTCTCCAGCGCTTTCGAACGGCAATGGCCGTGGCTGTCTCCTCCTGATTGGTGGAGTTGGCCCAATAGCCGTAGCGCCACCGTCCTGACGTCAGGACAGTGTTCAAATCTGGATCAGTTTTTATCAGATCCGTTGCAGCCCCTTTTTTAGAGATTTGGGCAGTGGCGGCCGGTCCATAGGGGCGCTAGGGGCGCCGCCCCACCTCTTCCCATATTGAAAAAAAAAAATTAAAAAAAAAATTAAAATTAAAATAAAAAAAAAAAAAAATGTTTAAAAAAATATATATATTTTTATTTTTAATGAACAAGGTAAATATTATATAATTGGTATCAGTAAAATGTATAATCTACAATAAAATCTCGTTTAAAATTGTGTTACGATGTCTAAAGTTACTGATAAGTCACATGTTTCCTGCCTGGCCTTGCCCATGCACCTTCTCTCGTCTGGGCGCTAAGAGAGGAGCCTTCAACCAGTGCAGCAGCAGCCACTAGCAGCTGACTGTTGCTATCTGTAACGTGTAAACTATGCCGCGAAAATATAATTTCAGCCAATCAGCGTCGTCAAAGATGACGGTCACCGGGCGCCAATGTCAGCGCCCAGTGCAGTCTGTGAGTAGTTTGGACAGTGACTCGTATCCGGTTGACGCAGTAGTTGATGAGGATGGCTTCGTGTGCAGGTGGAGTCTCCGGACCTCGGTCCCCGCCTAATTCTGTTCAAGAGCTAATCTCCAATCCTTTCGAAAGGAGAAGTTTGGCAGATAAATTGTTGCTTAAAGACCTTGGACCGGACCAACCCGATTTGAATATATCGCAGCAATCTCGTGAAAAAGACAAAACTTATACACGAGGCTTCGCAAGTAGCTGGTACACAAAAAAGGCTTGGCTAGCTGGATGCAAACAGGTAAATGCTGTCTTTTGTTTCCCATGCTTGGATATCACTTTATATGTAGAGAGGAGGTTTCCCATGGTTGTTAGAAGTTTATTAATAAGTGGGCATTTATCACAGAAGTGATTGTTCTGTCTCCACGTTTGTTGCATTGTCTGTGATGTATTTTCCAACGGTTCCTGGTAAAGTAGTAGATGTTCAGGTTGATAAATAATATTTTCCACACTGAAGATTATGGAGGTATTGATCAGTCTTCTCATATTTTTAAGCCTCGATTTCTCCTTTCCCCCCCCCTCTAACATCACCAGAAGTCATCATTTAAGGGGTCATTTCTCGAAAAAAATTTGCGGGGGGAAACCCCCCGGACCCCCCGGACGGGTCACTCCCGGTACGTCAAGAGCCCCACCAAAAAAATAGACCACCGGCCGCCACTGGATTTGGGTATGGAGGAAAATAGAGAGGGTTGTGTTTTCTGACACTTGGTGAGTTCCCTGGAACACCGGGGACACATATTCATGTATAAAAGACGTACCAAAGTGCATTTTGCATGATAGGTCCCCTTTAAATGTTTTAGTTGTTTTGGAAGGTCTTTCATCTTATTAACTCTACAGTAAAAATACTGTAATGAGTCTTCTTAATACAGCCCCATTGATTTCCTTTCAGTAAATGGAAAAAACCCGAAGCTATGTTAGCTAATTTAGCATTTAGCTGGTGAACACGTTGCAGCATTTAGCAGCTAAATATCCAGATCATTTTCAGGAGCAACCACAAACCACGGTGAAAAGGGCAGTAAATATTGGACTAACTTTCATAAGGACGCTCCAAATAAATGCTAATGATGCCCTGTGACTGCTTGATGTGTGCATTAGCAACTGTTAGCTAGTACGCTAATGCTAAAGGCATTTATAGCTCACACCAGCAGTGTTTTTCCTGTAGTAATAATCAATTCAAACTGTTTGGAAAAATGTTATTTTGCTGATATTTTGGGATGCAAATTGAGGCAGCTCTGTTGTAAATTTGCTGCTGATATGAATTGTTTTGCTTTGTGACGTTAGCATGCAGGTCACACGCTAGCTTTGTAAAGGTCTCAACACACATCCTTGGAACCAGAATGGTGTCTCTTGTCTTTATAAAACATAAATTCTTTCTCTGATTTAATCACAAGCCTTTTAATAACATACTTTGAAGAGGAGTAGTCTAAAATAACCTGCTTGAGTTGAGATCACGGCCATAAGGTGAATTTAGTACAGGGTCTATTACTCCCATTAGCAACATGATCAAGAGCTCGAGCTACATCTTCCACAGGCTCATTGTTTTCAAAGTGCTGTCAGTATTGATCAGATTTACAGCGCATTGTGCCAACACCACTCCAGGAAACATCATTCTTTCATTATTAATAACGGATGTGGAAAAGAAAACATGACTCAAGCCGCAGACGGACCAATTCAGGATGTCATAATTGCAGAAGTACAGCACGCACTCTTGCAAATTTGAGAGCGTCCTTGTGTATAATTTAATTGTAAAATCAAAGCCTCCCCGCTTGCGGACTGTTTTCATTATAATCATTATTACATTTTTCAGAAGAGGCCACTGATTCATGACGCAAAGCACAGATCCATTTCACTTTTTTTATTCAAATGATGTCTTATTTCACCATCCACTTAATCAAAACAATATTCTAACTTCTTAAAAACTGGCATATAGTGAATATATTTGTTTTAAGTGTTCTGTGTAATATTTCCATGCTTTTGTAATGATTCAGTGAATTCAGAGTTGTGAGAATAAACATGCCCCTGCAAATCAAAATATCTAATTTGCACTCTAGAGCACTTGATGAGTTACAATAATTTGGAGAATGTTGTGGGTTTTTTTTTTCAGTACAAGGCACTCAAGTGAAATCAAATGAAGTGCTGTATGAGCAATTAGAGGAAATCGTGTAAGACTGGGAACATTATTATTAATTATCTGAAATGGTTTTAGTCATTAAAAGGTCTGTGGGTTTTAGTGCCTGAATGATGATGTTTAACCAGTCACACAACCTTCTTCATGTTTGTTCTACTGGCCTTTTACCCACATATAGTGTAAGATAACTGGATGTTGGTACATGTAGAAACATCCTCTTGTCATTCCACAGTGAACAAAATGTCCCAAACTGACTGCATAGCCCTTTGAAAGAGAAATGACTCTTGTGTAATCATGCTGGATATTAATTAGCTTATTGCTCATTGCAAATAAAAGTGCTGACATCATTATGAACGTGTGTGAAACCTTATCTAACAGAGCCCCAGGTTGAGCAAATACAGAGTAAATGGAGATGATATGGCACATCAATAATCAAACTACATGTCTGAAGTCTCAGCAAACACCTTTATTCTCAAAAGCAGCTACGTGAGGAACATAAATTATTAGTCTGAGGTCTGAATAACAACGTGTGATGTTTTGGTGTTGGATTTCCCTTTTTTTTGCAGACTTATGTGAATCACAGAACTGTCATTTTTTTTAGATCTCATTTGACTGGTTGTTTATTCATGAATGTTATACTGTTTGCAGTCTTTTCAAGTTCAAATTTATGCTCTGCAGCTCCTCAGTAAAACTTAAGAAACTCAGATACACCCTGGAGCACAAGCGCTTCACACGATCAAAGCCGGGACCTCAATCTCCCGTGAAGGAAAATCCCACAATCCTGCAGCTTGTCAACTTTGGAGTCCCACATGAAACACAAACAAAGCAGCTAAGTTTTCATCGGTCTAATGTCAGCAGCCCTTTGTGCAGCAATGAACTTCCTCCTCTGCAGGGATGTAGCCGAGGCCTCAGTGATCCCATGATAACTGTCCGTCTCTTGAGAATCTTCACTGTTTTGAGACTTGGTGCTATCCTGCGAACCCGGCTTGTGCCTCGAGGTGCGATTTTGCTCTTCTTTAAGCTCTATGTAGGAGCGTGAGAAGGTGTGAAAAATGGACGTTACGGGGAACGCCATGAGGAGGATTCCACTCAAAATGCTGCTGAGTGCCACCACTTGTCCAGGGATGCTTCTTGGCACCATATCTCCGTATCCTACCGTGGTCATGGAGATCACGGCCCACCAGTAACTCCCGGGGATACTTGTGAACTCCTGCTTGGCGCCCAACTCGCTCTCAGCTAGGAACACAAGTGGGGAGAAAAGAGCCATGGCTACGCAAAGGAAAAGCAGCAAAAGTCCGAACTCTCGCGTGCATCTTCTCACTGTTAACCCGAGTGTCTGCAGGCCTAAAGAGTGTCGAGCCAAACGCATCACGTAAAAGATCCGTAGAGCTCTTAGGACTCGGAGAACTAACCCCACTTTCTCCAGGTAGTTGTTCCCGGAGCCTGTTTGTTTCCCGCCGACAGAAAAAGAGTCCACGATGAGAGTGATGTAGTACGGGAGGATGGCCAACACGTCGATGAGGTTCAGAGGCGTACGAAGGAACGTCCACTTGCTCTGAGTCTGGATGAAACGCAGCAGGAACTCCAGGGAAAACCAGGCGACGCACACCGTCTCCAGAACGAAGATGTTGTAGCACCTCTGGGAGCACTCACCCTGTTAAGGAACATAAAAGCACAGAAAGATAGACGTTATTATGCGAAAAAAATCCACTTTTTCATGTCTCTTCTACATCAACATGTGTCCCCTCTTCTTCATGTCTCTTCTACATCAACATGTGTCCCCTCTTCTTCATGTCTCTTCTACATCAACATGTGTCCCCTCTTCTTCATGTCTCTTCTACATCAACATGTGTCCCCTCTTCTTCATGTCTCTTCTACATCAACATGTGTCCCCTCTGCGTTAAGAGACTCTGAAAGTTTCAGGAACAAAGATTCTCTCTCTTTTTGATCCATTTATATAGAAACCTGTCTGAAAATGAGCTGATCAGATTTTGGCCACTTTATGATGTCATCACGATGTTTTGTCTTGTGTAACCATTAGCCAATCAGCAACCAAGGTAACCCCCCCCCCCCCCACCTTATCACCTGAATCTCCTCCTAGAGCTCCATTGAGTTCTTTGTAACCAAATCTCTCTCAGAGGGGCGTGGGGAGGGGCTCCTTATTTTCATCTAAAGTAACAGACAGAGAATCAGCACTTTGGAAACAGGGCTGAAACAGAGGGGATTATGGGTAATGCTGCAATGATCTGTTTGGTGTTTCAGCCAATCAGAGACAGGCTCTGTATATATTTGAGACCTGTGATATATTGATGAAAAACAGTATAATAGGGGACCTTTAATGGTTTCGTTACATTACACAACAGCAGAAATACCTCATTGAGTGGTGCAGGAATGAGTCCTAGAACCCAGAAATGAGTCAGCATTTTACAATTTCTGGTTCCCTCGCCTCAAAGTCAGCGTTTTTTGGAATGTATGCTTCGTTAGATGCCTGAAACAAGCTGAGGAGATTTTCATGTTTTATACTACGACATAAATACATCAGTAATTATCCCACTGGTGAATGTTCGTAGCTTCTATGTGTAAACAAAAACTGCAGTTTACTAACAAAAGCTAAATGTCATCAAATATTACATGTACCTTTTAGTTTGTTTGCTCTGAGTTTTGTAATTTATAAGTCCGACAGGCTTTGGTGCATAGGCTAAAATAATCCATTTAATACAAGATAAACTTAACAATATAATCCTTTATTACGTTAGTTAGAACTGAACACAAATATACATTCATAGCGGTCTAATCTCAGTGGAAAAGGGTTCATATGAAGTCAGTAATTAAAAATCAATTTCAAAGCCTGCTGTTTGATTCATGGCTTCGTCATTGACAGAGGTTGAAGCGTTTTGATCTCACAACACAAACACAAACGAGAATCTGCCGGAAGATTCATGAAGTGTAAAACAAAAGGCTTTGATTATCTCATTTAGGAAAGACCACATATCAAACCAGAGCGTTCAAGAGGTGAAATCTGAAGTTACACCGCCACAGATAATTAACTGTCAGCGGTGTCGTTCACAGACGAGCCTGCACCATGTGAGCTTTATAAACACCACATCTGAAATATCCTCTCTTTTAAAGCTAATCTATTCTTCCACGACTGCTGGAATAGCGTTCATAAATATTTTAAATTATAATTATAAGAGATTACTTGGTTATTAAAGCAAAGTCAACCCTGGGGGAAACTTTAAAAAAAAAGTGTGTGTGCTTTTCATTTTCCTGCACTTACTTAAGTGTTATTAATTGCAGAAAAATATTCTTTGCTTCACTTTTCGTTAATTATTGGTGGATTAATTAGGATTTGTGGAGCAATGAAGAAAACTTTTTCTGTCTCTTATAAAACTTTTAAATCCTACTTAATACCATGAAATGTGTTCAATTGCATTGGTGGAAATAGCGTTTACTCAAGTATTATTTTTAAATATTTGAACTTTAGTTCTTGAGTACTTGAGTATTTCCATGCTATGCTACTTTATGCTTCTAATCTACTACAATTTAGAGGAAATGATTGTACTTTGACCACTTTATTTAACAATCATAGGTAACCCCAAGTGAAGGAGTTCAAGTATCTCGGGGTCTTGTTCTCGAGTGAGGGAACAATGGATCGTGAGATGGGCCGGAGAGTCGGAGCAGCGGGAGCGGTACTGCAGTCGCTTTGTGACGAAAGGAGAGCTGAGCCAGAAGGCAAAGCTCTCTGTCTACCGGGCCATTCTCGTTCCTACCCTCACCTATGGTCATGAAGGATGGGTCATGACCGAAAGAACGAGATCGCGGATACAAGCGGCCGAGATGGGTTTTCTCCGCAGGGTGGCTGGCGTCTCCCTTAGGGATAAGGTGAGAAGTTCAGTCATACGGGAGGGACTCAGAGTTGAACCGCTCCTCCTTCGCGTCAAAAGGAGCCAGTTGAGGTGGTTCGGGCACCTAGTAAGGATGCCACCTGGGCGCCTCTCTAGGGGAGGTGTTCCAGGTACGTCCAGCTGGGAAGAGACCGAGGGGTAGACCTTGGACCAGGTGGAGGGATTATATCTCTTCGCTGGCCTGGGAGCGCCTTGGGATCCCCCAGTCAGAGCTGGTTGATGAGGGGAAAGGAACGTTTGGGGCTCTCTGCTGGAACTGCTACCTCCACGACCCGACCACGGATAAGTGGGAGAGGATGGATGGATGGATGGATGGTAAATAATAGATGCTTTTACATGTAAAAAGTTTAAACACATAACACGATGCAGTACTGTACTCCTAATATACCCTGCATATTAAAACATTTAAATTGGCTCTGCATTGCATCTGCAGCACAGGCAGTATGAGAAAAATAAAGAGCTTTTTGAACATTAAAGCATGGAAACATGTCACAGTAGAGGCACTGAATACAAATATCAACCTGAAAGTGAGCATAATAGGGCCCCTTTATAGCGTTTCCTCCAGGTGTGAATGTGTGCAAGCGTGAATATAAATATAACCTAAACATTTGCTTTACTATTTGCTCAGTCAACAGCTGTGCTAGCAAGGATAAGTCATTCCAAGAGACTGCCCTCTCAGAAATGAAGTCCTCCTCTCAGATTGAGCTTCATGCATTTTTCAGTGTGTACACTTATATTGCAAATAGCATTTTTTGCCCTAGAGACCAAACTTTGCTAAATCCATTAAGGAGCGTGTAAATCACTGATCGGCAGCGCTGGGGTTGCAGTTCTTCACACAGCGGCAGCAGCAATAAACTGCACTATTGAAAGAAGTCTTCATGAGGAAAATGTGGTATAGATCTGTAGGTCGATTTATGTGTTATGCTTTTAGTTCTGCAGTGGCAATATCAAACTTATTTTCAGACGCAGCTGTTCCAAAATCCCTGTGAATGCGCTATGTAGTAATAAAAGACCACCACCTTACGATTATTAATTCTCAAACTTGCAGTCTATGATTTATTTTATTGCAATAAAATATTATAAGCGCAACTTTGACAATTAAATATTTCCATAGAGTGAATAGGGGGTAGTGGTGGTCTAATGGATAGTGAGGTGGGCTGAAGATCGGAAGGTTGTTCCCGCCTGGAACACCACCACTAGTGTGCCCTTGAGGAAGGCACTTAGCCCTTAGTTACTCCAGGGAGAATGTCCCTGTAATTGGTCATTGTAAGTCGCTTTGGATAAAAGCGTCAGCTAAATTAAATGTAATGTAATGTGAATGATGCAGTGGGGATTCAGTATTTGAAAGTTTATTGTTAAAAGTCTAGTCGGACGGAGTGGCGCAGTGGGCTGTGCGTTGATCATCAGATCAAGGGTGGCGTTGGGGAACTCCAGTTCGAAACCCGCCACCGCGTCAGGCCGTTGTGTCCTTGGACAAGACACTTCACACGAATTTGCTCCTGTGGGTACTGTCCACAGTACATGACCGTTACATGTGTGTAATGTGTACTTGTAAAGCGCCTTGATGACTTAGAGGTGTGAAGATGGGCGGAGTGGCGCAGTGGGCTGTGCATTGATCATCAGATAAAGTGGGTGTTGGGGAACACCCGTTCGAAACCCGCTGCGTCTGTAAAGCCGTTGTGTCCTTGGGCAAGACACTTCACCTGAGTGTGCTCCTGTGGGTATTGTCCACAGTACATGACCGTTACATGATGTGTATTTGTAAAGCGCTTTGAGCATCTGGAAAAGCGCTATTATTAATGTAAGGAATTATTATTATTAAATTAGTTGTGAGAAAAGTTTTTAGCCATTTTAAGCTATTTTGAGCCTCTACTACTATGTCTGCATGTTTTAATGTTCAAAAAGCTCTTTATTGTTCTCATACTGCCTGTGCTGCAGCACCTCTTTTCACCCTCTGTCTGAAACCAGAGCCCAGTCTGCTCTGATTGGTTACCTGGCCGGCTCTGTTGTGATTGGTCAACCGCTGAGAGATGTCCCGCCCCTTAGCCTATCTCCTATAATGTGATGGAGCGCTAGCCAATAGGAGCACAAGTGTTCAATAGTGATGTTCCGGATAATTTTTCAGTTACGGAAACGGCCTTGGCAGAGATCTTGGCTCTCCAAGTGTTCTTTAAAGTGGACCTATCATGCTATATTTGAAAAATATATTGTAGGGCCATACCAATCCAAAACATGTCTGTGAAGTTTTTTTTTCAAAATACCAAACAGCCATTTGTAGCCATGCCTCATACTGCTCAAACCCCTCTTTTGCAGCCCTGTTAGAGAAAGGCGGATCTTGGGTCCTTAGCTTTAAAAAATAAATAAATAAAAAAAAAAGGAGGCGGAGATAATGCCTGATCAGAATTCTACCGGAGAAGTTAAATTCGGTTGTGATAAAACGCCATCCTGTTTAAACCACGTCAAGGATTATTTCTGAAACAGTATGGAGCTCAAATGCTTTTTCTCTTGCAGGTTTATCACAAGGTGAGTTCCTTTTTTTATTTCCTGCTTTTTAAACACATGTGCTCTCCAGTACAGGTTAGCTCTGAGTGTTAGCGAGGCTTGCTAATGTAAACAAAGACGAGATTACGTCCAAAACACGTCAGGCATTGTTTCTGATAGCAACTTTCTGTGGGTCCGCCGACGTCACCACGGATGGACACGTCAGTTCGGATGGAAATCTGTATCCGCTCGTTGTACACCCGTTTGG